GTGGGGCTTGAACTCTGGGCCTGGGCACTGTCCCTCAGCTCTTCAGCTCAAGGCTAGTGCTCTACCACTTGAGCCACAGCGCCACTTCTGGCGTTTTTTATTTATGTGGTGCTGAGGAATTGAACCCAGGGCCTCATGCATGCATGGCAAGCACTCTACCACTGAGCCATCTTCCCAGCCCCAAGGACAACACTCTTAAGAGAAGAATACAAAGTCACAATGCCTATGTGCATCTGATAGTATAAAATAATATTAATGGAAATGAACTCCAGGAAATGGAAACAAGAGGTTTCTTCCTTGCTGTTTTGAGATTTTTTTTTTTTTGGTCACTCATGGGGCTTGAACTCAGGGCCTGGGTGATGTTCCTGGGTTTTTCCGCTCAAGGCTAGCATTCTATACCACTTTAGCCATAGCTCCACTTTCTGGTTTTGAGTCATTTATTGGAGATAAGAATCTCATGGACTTTCCTAACCAAGTAGGCTTCGAACCAGAATCCTCAAATCTCAGCCTCCTAGTTTCTAGGATTGCAGGCATGAGCCACCAACTCTGGGCTGTTTTCTTTTCTTTTTTATCTTGTTTGCTCAATTATCTTTCTTTGGAGGGTGAGGGAGGGCTTAAATCCACAAAAATGGAGGGACAAAGGGTAAACAAATGTAGCAGTGGTATAAATTATACAACTTGGGGGATGGGCGAGAAAAATTGGGAGAGAACAATAAAAGAGGTGACATGTCCAAAAAGAAATGTATTCCTTATGTGGTTTATGTAACTCTAACCCCTCTGTGCATAACCTTTTTTTTTTTTCTTGGTCAGTCATGGGACTTGAACTCTGGGCTTGGGCACTGTCCCTGTGCTCTTCAGCTCAAGGCAAGCGCTCTACCACTGGAGCCACAGCGCCACTTCTGGTTTTGTGTTGGTTAATTGGGGATAAGAGTGTCACACACTTTCCTGCCCAGGCTGACTTTGAACCACGATCCTCAATCCAGCTTGTGCATCACTTCTATAATAATTTTTTTAAACTACAAGAAAAAAAAAACTTAAGCCGAGTGCCAGTGGCTCATGCCTGTAATCCTAGCTACTCAGGAGGCTGAGATCTGAGGATCATAGTTCAAAGCCAACCCAGGCAGCAAAAGCTATGAAACTATTATCTCCAATTAACCACCAGAAAACTGGACGATGCACTGTGGCACAAGTGGTAGAGCGCTTACCTTAAGCTGAAGAGTTCAGGGACAGCACCCAGGCTCAGAGTTCAAGCCCCATGACCAAAAAAAAAAAAAAAAAAACCAGCTCCAGAAAATATATGGATGGCTGCTAATCTAATTTACCAGCCGAAGCCAAATGTGTTTATAAGAGGTCTTTACTGCTTCAACCTAATTGGTGACATTCCAGAAAATTCTTGCTGTCTTAATGGCCTTTAGTAACCCAAACCTCCCATTAAGAGTTCCTATTCCAGCCGGGCGCTGGTGGCTCACGCCTGTAATCCTAGCTTACTCAGGAGGCTGAGATCTGAGGATCGCAGTTCAAAGCCAGCCCGGGCAGGAAAGTCCATGAGACTCTTAACTCCAATAAACCACTAGAAAACAGGAAGTGGCGCTGTGGCTCAAGGG